AATGGTTAAGGGCCTGCATGAATGCCTAAGAAAGCATATCGGACAGTTTCTGTGAATCAATAGCTTTTCTATTTTTAAACTAATGAAATGCTGTCACACAGTTGATGTTTAGTAAGTGCAATTTTAGAATGTTTTGAATTAAGTCATATATATTGCCTGCTGTTTCAAAGTTGGGTTCTCTCATGCTCTGGAATTGAAATACAGACTTCTCTTTACTTTTTCATGTGCTATTTTATATTGGTGGTGGAGTATTTGTTTACAGCTCCCCATCAGAAGAGTGTTTGCATGGTTTATTCGTGAACTGTTTCTTTCACTTCCCTGTGGCATTAAAGAGGAGGATAAGGTGCATATGTGAATACAAGATAGTGTTAAGGTATGTCTGCTGTGCTAATGTAAACTAAAAGCCTTTTGAATTTGTTCAGAAGCTTCTTCCTTTCCCCATAGAAGTAAAATATTTCTTTGCATATAAAATGAGAAACTGTCTTCCTTTGTAGCTGCCATTGAAGAATTCTTCCAGTAATATAAGCCCAGATGGGCAAATATGTGATACTCATTTGAGAACAGTTCTATGCAGCTGTTATTTTTTGGGTACCAAACTTTCTTTCTTTCTTTTTAAGCCTGTTAGCAATAACTTGACTTCATGGTAGGATGTCTCATATCAGAGAAGGGCAAACAGACTGACCGCACTCTGAGGGGTTTAGCAGGTGGCAGGGTGTTTCTCTGGACTTAGTGAAGTAATCACTGTGTAGCATATTGGTATATCTTGGAGTGTACTTCTATTAATATTCTAGTACAACAGAAAAAAAAAGAAATAGATTTGCAAAAATTAAAGCTCCAGAACAGACTTCTATGTGCTCACTACTAAAATGAATAATGGATCATTTCAGTTTATTTTTATAAGTGCTAATCAAAAATATAATGATTTGCAAATCGTTACTCTGTTAAATTGGAAGCATTAATTTAAATTTTTGGCAATTATAGTAATTAATTTTTTTTCTTTATCTTTGGAAGTTATGATTTATCAATCACGTAAAATGGTTTACCAAATAACTTGTTCTTTATAACTAGCTTATGATTTTTAAGTAATCATTATATGGTGCTTGCTATTTATTTTAATAGAGTCTTTGCCTTTCTTTAACTTCCAGGCAACAATAAGATGAACTTAAATCGTGCTGGTTATGTGAGTAGACCAGTCAAAAGGTATGACATATGAATACTGCAGCAGCATTTCCTTTGACTGGTTTCATGGTCCAGACTGTGTTTAGGTTCAGCCCATCTGGTTGGGTACATCAGCACTACATGCCTTGAAATTTAGGCATGTCTCAAATATTTTGGTAGAGCATGCATAGAAGCAGTGCTTATTTCCTACTGTGACAGTGACTGAAGTGGTTATCTCTGTAAGGTGATGAGTTTAGATTTCATTTTTCTTCGTAACCAAGTTAATTTGGAAGGAATGGGGGGAATACAACAGCCAAGCAAGAATAGAACATTCCTGTTCCTCATCTCCTGAGGAGGCCCTCTTTGCTAAGGGGTTTGAACCGACATCCCTTTAATAAGCCCTTAAGTCACCAGGCTCCACATTGATTTGTATTCACTGGCTAGCACTCATCTGAGTTTTATTCTTTAAAAGGAAGCTTTTGTCTTTAAAACACAATACTATACACACACACATGCTATATATGTGTATATGTAAAAATATATCATTTATATATATATACAAGCATATAAATGGTTTATGTGTATATATGTTTGTATCTATGTATATGACATAATAGCATGAAGAAATCTAATGGGATGTTAGAGAAGCAGTCTTGGGTCCTAAGAGTAGATGAAAGGCTGAGTCTCATTTTCTGGACTAGTGCTGTAACAGGCTATTGTACCAAAAGTAATTTTTGTTGCCTGCCTTCCTCATCCGCACTCTTGCTAAGCTGCTATAAGTGATTTTGAGGTCAGCTGTTAGCTGTTTTTTTCTTCCCTTGGCCATCATGGGTAACCATAGTCATGCATTTCTAAACTAGCTTTCACAGTACTGAAAGTGTGAATGGAAGGATGTTGGGAGGGAACTGCAAGACTGACCTTTTGCTACAAATTGCAAGATAGTTGTCTACTAAAGATTGTTTATTTAAAAAATAAATCTTGTATATTGAAAGGAGAGTTGTCCTTTTTTTTTTTTTTTTTCTGATTTTTTTGCTAACTCTAATTCTTCAGTGGGTCTGCGTGTTTTAAACTATTTTTTACAATTTCAGACCTGTTCCAGTGACGGCTGTATAGTTGCTCGTCTTTTGCTTATATTGGTTTTGTCTGTCTTGTTTGACTGGTGATATCTGAAGGGAAAAGTCTCAGGTTCCCACTGAAAGAAACGCTAAGGATAGAAAAAGAATGGGGAATGAATTATGCACCACTTTATTCAGTGGCATAGTCTATTGTTCCCTCTGTGACTGGTTTTTATAATGCTGTTGTATTTTTATGTTTCAGTAGTTTGTCGTAATGTATTATTTGATTAATTGATAAACTGTGGATAGTAATACCTTGAATTATTCTTTGGGTTGAGAGGATGCTCCTTGTTCTATTCTAATTTTACTGGTCAGAGGCCATTGGTTTCCTGCTCTTTTCTTTTTTCCTGCTTACCAAAACCACCAGCAAGATCTTACAAGTCTGTGTATGGTTATGTGGGTTTTATCTTGTCAGTGGTGTTTCCTAAAGTCTGTGATAGTCTGCATACCATTTGGAAATGTGGTGGGTGTACCCCTGTCTGATATTCATATCCTCAGTTACATGGGTATTTCAAAAATTGGTTTGCTTGTATAATCAAACAAGCTAAGGGCATATACTGCCTTTTGGGAGAGGAGTTGTAGAGCAACAGGCTTGATGATGGATCTCTTTAGAGCACAGAGCCTTACTGAGAGACATCCATTCCCTGGCTTTCATGTAGTGCTGAAGGATTTGAGAGAAAATGTAAATGTAATTACTATTACTATAACTCCATGAATAGAAGAAACATCTAATACTCTCTGGAATGTTGAACGCCCCCACCATTTCAACAATTGTGTAGATTTGTATGCAAGTTAACACTTACATTGTGCTTAAGGCCACCAATTGAGTTGCAAAAAGCAAAGCAAAAATTGCCACTTCTATAATTATGGTCTGCTTTATAATTATATTTATCTCTTGTACCCTGAATGAGTATTTCAGTAATTTGTATGCCTTCTCACACTGTTGCATACCCTAAAGAGATTAAAGGAATATTGTGAAAGACTGATGGCAAAGCAAAATCATATTCATCTGTGTGTACATTCAGTATTGATGGTAACAAAATCTAATGAGATTTTCTCAGTCTTGGGCCAAAATCTTGGTAAAAATGACTAATTGTGTTTGAATTTGGTAAAACTGGATACTGAAGATGGTTCTCTTCTACATATGGACAGAAGTCTGTTTCACAAGTATGTGCACAAGAAACCTATTGCTTGAATTAAAATTCTTCCCTTTAACCATTTCTCTATCCCCCATCAAAATAAAAATCTTGCAGAGTTTATGTGTCCAGGATCTGATTTTGACCTACTGGAATATATTGAATGTACACAATTAAAATTCTGTTTAGACTTCTATCAGAAGGATAAATCGTAGGTGTATTTTATTTTGGAAGCTTGATGAAAAGTTGGGGTGGGTTATTTAAACAAAGAAGAACTCAGAACCACTGGTGGAGATGAGCTATGGCTAAGATGAGCTTTCATGCCTACTAAGCTAATTTACTTGAAAAACTAGAGATTATTTTAGAATTACAATATCATAATTTTAATAAATTCAGAAGGAGAATAACCTTCTGAAAAAAGTCGAGTTCCATGTTCATTCATGAAGTCATAATCTTCTATCTTAAGTTGTCTTTATGTTTAAGTGGTTGATAAAGCTGAGGTTTAGATACTGCATTGATGCTTGCTGTACCCCTCTCCTAGGGAGATCTTTTCTTCTAATTCTGATTCTGCAGTGATTTGAGCAGATCATACACTCCAGTTTTGCACTGTGGTCTGATGCCAGGTGACTTCTAGATTTTTCTGAGTACGCATCAGCATATTTTGTGCTGGATCACAAATGGAGTGATTCAGTGCCTCTGTCATTCTTGTTGCTTTGTTTGTATTTATTGTGTGACTGGCTTTTACACACTGTAAACAGCACCAGTGGAGTTGACTGTGCTTTTTATATAGAAGAAGGGTTGCTGTAAAATGACTAGAAGATGATATGTGCCTAGGGAATTAATATTACTCATTCCCAGTGAAATATAGCGAGTCGATGGACAGTACGTCGTGCTGATAATATCCATGTAAAAGGTACATCAAGGGACAAGAGATAGAAAGATAAAGAGTATTTTGAAAAGCAGAAGAGAATGAAACTGAGATACATTTACTACAAATTGCAGGAGCTAAGAAGTCTTGCTTTTCCTTCCCCCTGTTAAAATAGGCCACTGCCACATGTGTCCTGCTGTGTTCTCAGCTTGTATCTCTGATGGGAGCTGGCAGCTGGGGCTGGATTCACTTGCTTAAGTGTGTGTGTTTATTACCACTTGGGATGCTGTACTTGCTCGAGCAAGTTGCTCGAGCAGTAAGGTGTGAGTCTTGCCCAGATTACTTTTTTTAATATCAGCTGTGTGTGGATGTCTTTGACATGCTAGGGTACCTAAGATACCAGTAGGTGCCTATAATTAAGCACTTGAATTAAACTTCTAATCCCTCATGCTTGTTTTCATGTCACTGATGTGTTATATTAATGTGTGCACATTAGATTTAATTTATTATTTTATTGCAAATTTATAGTAGTTGGAAATTGTCATTCTTTGCTACAATTAAACTCTGATCAATCAGTTGTGCTATGGTTTATTTCTTGTTACAATGGCACAAAAAAGCTAGCCTACCTCATATTTGTTAAGCACTTTTTTTGAGACTCTTCCATTTCAACAAGAGATCTTGAAATTTTATTATGTAGTATTTATTTACTGCTGTCTAACTGTAATGGGGACATATAGATTTTCCTTTGTCTTCAATGAAAAGGAATGTATGTCCTTATCTGTTATACAGGTATGTAGGAAGTACAGCTTTTTCAGCAGTGGTCTCCTCAGATTCCAGTTTTGCAGTGTGTGTGCGCTCATGTGTGTTTTCCCCAGGTTTCAGTTTTTATTCATGTGCTGTAGTGAAACATGTCTATTCGAGCAAATAAAATAACCACACCTATGCTTTTATCATCCAGTCGTGAGAATGAAAATCATGTTGTTTCTCAAAAATTACAAATACATAGAATCTTACAACATTCTTGAGATTATTGTAATTTTCATTGCAACTAAGCTGGTGTCCAGGGTCGAAATGCTATGACTTCAGTCAGAGTGAAAGAGATCTCTCTGGAAGAAGAGTTGGAGGGTTTGTAAGCCAATTCTTTTAACGGATAATTAATGAGGAGAGGGAAAGAAAGAAGGCTTGCTGATGTCCTGCTTGTTTAAGCATATGTATATTTCTTTAAACACTTGAGTAATATGTGAGACTAATTCACATCTATATTAAATATAGGCAGTGATCAGTTGTGGTGTGTTGACCAGTTTTGGACAATTAACTCTTCTAATAGATTTGACTCAAGCTTGTTCATGAGTGCTGTTCAGTTGGCAAACATCAACATTGCATAACAGATTTTTAGGTCTGCCATCTGGACGCTACTAAGCATTTCTTTAAGAAGAAGAAAAAAATTCATTCACAAGTCTGGTATGTGATATTTAAAATGCAGGAGGGTATTAAATTGAGTATCTCTCTGTATACCGTTGGGTCTTTCACTTTCAAATAGATTAACATGTAGTTATTATAGAGACCTGTAGCAAAATTTTCATGTTCTACAATTATACTTTTTGATTCCTTGGTTTGTTTTATTTCTGCATAGTTTGCTATGTGTTACTTAATAGGATGAGGATTCATTTTCAGTTTTAATTTTAAACTTAGGGTAAGAATTTTATGGCCTTCACCTAGTGAGCCTGAGAAAAATCAGTGCATCAGAAGAAAGGAAAGAGAGAACTGAAATTTTAAACACCGTGTTCTTAATTGACCTTCTCAGCTCACATGGGGTACCACTTGTCACTATACTGGGGAAATTTTGTTGTTGTTTTTTTCCTTCCTGGTGCTAGCCAGCTTAATACTTTTCAAAGCCCAGTTGCTTGTGTTTCTGCTTATTCAAAATGGTATCGTGATACCTTTCCTGTGTGTTTTACAGGTCTCCAGGATTACTCTTAACTTTTTTTCCATAAATGTCATTGTTTAAGAAGCATTTACAAAGAATAGTACAGCTGCTATTTTTTTATTTTTATTTTTCATTTTTAAGCTAAGAGGGTTTTGTGAACCGTTTGCTGCCCTGTTAAGCAATCCAAACAAGTATGTTGGGTCTTCAGCTGATCTTTTGTCTCAATGTCCCTTCTAGTTACTGAAGGGGAACATGGAGAAGAGCTCTCTTGTCAGGCGGCAGAGCGCATCTTCTGAACTGCTGTGTGTTCACATGGTGATAGGAGTGATGGTGGGAAATGGCCCCTGTGTTTCTCATTTGATTTCAGTTTGGAATCATCTGCTGCTTTCAGGACAAGCAGATTACTGTGGTTAAGTGCCAAGCACTTGTCAGACTGCAGGGAAGATCTTCGCATATATTGTAGTCATGGGCTTTGCTCTTCTTTATTCAGTGTGTCTTTTCCTTAGTATCTATGTTCAAGATTAAATTTTAAACTCTATTACATACTTCTTATATATTCATAAAATGAGGCAATGTACGCGTGAATAATTTCACTATTTTATTATCCCTATAAAAATATTTTTGCATGGCAAAGGATGTGTTGATAAGTGAAGTCCCTAATTTCTCTAAATTAATCTCATAAGAACAACAACTTTCTTTTCTTCCTTTTGCCTTTTGTTGATAAAGTGATAATAATAAACGTACCTTTAGAGATACAGAAGGCAAAGGCATGCATGAGAAGGAAATTAACGTATGGTTAACCGCAGTAGTTGGTGTTTCAAAGGAGACTACTTGAAAAGATAAACAGACTGGTAAACAAACCACTGTTCAGGATCTTTGCTGAAATGAAGCCAAGAGTTGAAAGGACTTTTCTTACCTGTTTTGGTGTTAAATTAAATGTTATTGACCTTCTTTTTCAAAGATTTGTCTGGGGGGAAAGACAGGAAGGATTGTTTATTTGTATTTAAAAAAAAAATAGTTTGAAAACTAAAACCACCTTTGCCATAGAAGCTGATAGTTTCACTGTCAAGAATTCAGCCTCGAGTTTCATCTTGCCAGAAACCCTCTGGAAATACAAGTGGGTGTGTTCTGCTTGAGTAATCATATGTAAATACAGAGGTGCAAGCAGCACTGTGATAATGACTGTAGTGTCTTTGAAGGCACTCTGAAGCTTCTGTTCAAAGACACTCTTAAATAATTAAATATGTTTTTTTAAATTTACATGGAATATGTAATGACATCCCCCAAGTTCCAGATTTCCTTCCTTTCTTTTCTTTGTCATGCAAAGAATAAATAGAGTATTTTAATCAAAGCACTGTATAGTAAAGAAAGGTGACAAAACAGCAGGTCCAGGTAGTTCTTTGCTGTAACCCTCAGTAACATTTTCTTAACACAGAAGTGACAGGCTTGAAAAACCTAGGTACATCTGAGGTGATCTTAGAAGTCTGGCTTCCCGTCTGCAAATAAAGGGAGGCAATTTTGTCCACTTAGATACGCCCTCTGGCTTATGGCAGTTCACTCTGTGACTATTTATGTGGTCCTCCTTGTAAGATTGGCTAGTCAGCTGTATGTACGTGGTTTTAATCTTTATTTTTTACTATTTTTTTGGCAGACACTGAGCGTCTCTATACAGTGGTGTTCGAAGAGATCTGTGGGCGTTTTGGAAAGACCTATACCTGGGAGGTGAAATCTTTGGTCATGGGTAAAAAAGCCTTAGAAGGGGCAGGGATTATTCGAGATGTTCTAGATCTTCCAATAACAAAAGAAGAGTTATTACATGAAAGTAAAATGAAGCAGGAGAAGCTGTTCCCTACTGCTGAATTGATGCCAGGTATGTTTTTCTTCAATATTTATGAATTGTTTATGGAATTGCTTAAATGCTAACCAAGGTAGAAGTTTTTAATCTGCCTTCTACAGAACAGTTTCTGCTACAGATTTGGTTTCATCACTCTTGTTTCAGCAAGTTATATCTTTTGCAAGACAAAAAAAACAAAACAAAACAAAAACAAACAAACAAACCCTAGTCTGGGCTTTGAAAATGCCAGATAGACAGACTGGGTGAAATGTTAGGAGGCACAGAGAGGAGTCAATGTAATGTAACAGCGCAGGTAATAGATGCTGTTAAGTGGATATTCTGTGGCTGTTGAGGATTGTGATAATGTGGCTAAGCTGGTTTGAACAGAGTTGCAGGGAGGTGATGGAATGGATTAGCTGAAGGAAGCATGAAGTTTTGCACTGTCTCTACATTCTGGTCTTGCCAAAGTTAGGCTATTGTAGATGAAACAAGCAAAATTCTTACTGGGACAAGGAGGTAAACATTTTTATCATTGCCAGTTCAATTGATTATCAATTCCACTAAATACATATGAGAACTTTCGTTAGGCTATTTTCTAAAGAAGAATTGATGTGAATTTACATACTTTATGCTCACTGGCTCTGGTGGGTTAACCTTGGCTGGATGCCAGGTGCCCACCAGGCCTCTCTATCCCTCCCCCTTCAGCAAAATAAAGGGGGAGAATAAGATGAAAACTCGTGGGTCAAGATAAAAGCAGTTTAATTAAAGCAAAGGCCAAGGCCACGCACAGAAACAAAAGGTAAACAAAGATGCTATTCTCTACTTCCCCTCAGTAAGTGATGTCCGGCCACTTCCCAGGAAAGCAGAGCTTCAGTATGTGCAGCAGCTGCTCCTGGAGACAAACCCAGTAACCAATGCCCCCCTCCTCCTGCCTGCCCTGGGCTGTTATGGCTGAGCTGATGTCACATGATATGGAACAACCA